TGGCGGGCAGGCAGGTCTGTCCAGCTCTTACATTTGGGGGAACATAAGGCCCAGAGAGGGGAATTGATTTGCACAGGTTTACAGAGCAGCTGTTTGAACTCAAAGGCCTGCAGAGATCTAAGCCAGTGTGTTTTTCATGATTTGGAGGCCAACTGGTTAACAATTATATGCTCAGCATCTGCTTCTAGAGCCCTAAGCTTATATCCTGTAGGTGCTGTGAGCTGTGCTTTTGGTGGTTGCTGGCGACAATACATAGAAACGTACTTTGCCTTTTTAGCAAAGTGTCAGTAATTTTCAATAACCTGTTGAAGTTTTCAGAGTGTGTGGAAAAATGAGTTTGACTTAGGCAGAGGTGAGTGATTATAACAGTCCTGGGTGGAAGGAGACTGGCACAAGAGCAGTACTTGGGGTTACCTTATAATAGCCAGGGAAAAGAGGTGCTGGAAACCTTTTGTTGCTAACACTGGAGTTCTTTTCCTTCCATTCAGACATGGCACCTCGCAAGGGGAAGGAAAAGAAGGAAGAGCAGGTCATCAGCCTTGGACCTCAGGTGGCTGAAGGAGAGAATGTCTTTGGTGTCTGCCACATTTTTGCATCCTTCAATGACACTTTTGTCCATGTCACTGATCTTTCTGGCAAGTAAGTACCTGGGTGGCTAGTCACAGAGCTCAGCCGGCAAGGGGCTGGGAGAAGAAATGGCCCTGGGACTAAGTGACAGTTTAGGATGTTCTCCCAAGAGAATCACTATTTTGTCCAGATAAGGTGGCTTACGTGAGGAAGTGTTTCTCTTTTTGCTGTGGCTACCAGGCCAACTAAAATTTGAATGTTGTGCTTGGTCATTTAGTTCACAAATGTTTTTGTGCCTCCTTTGTAAAGTAGTTTTCAGGATTAAATAGAAGCTGAATATAAGTGTTAATACAGAGTTAAGCTGTATTAGGTCTTCCAACTTGACTAGTCTGTGAGCCCCATGAAGGCAGAGCCCATGTGATCTTGCTCACTTGTATCCCCAGTGCTATACAGTTAACAGGCAGTAGGCACTTAACATTTGTCAGGAACAGGACCCATATTCACGGTGACCTTCCATCCTTTGTCATAAATGAGCTATAGTTCTTTTTCCTGGTTAGGACATTAAGCTATCAGTGAGTCTTTGTTGAACAAGAAAGAAATGACTGCTTTTGTCCCCAGGGAAACCATTTGCCGTGTGACTGGTGGGATGAAGGTGAAGGCTGACCGAGATGAATCTTCACCGTACGCTGCCATGTTGGCTGCCCAGGATGTGGCCCAGAGGTGCAAGGAGCTGGGCATCACTGCCCTACACATCAAACTCCGTGCCACAGGAGGAAATCGGTATGGGACTGGGGCTGGGTGGTGATAAGACCACTGGGCTTGGGCACCAGGACACCCAGATTTGAATCTTTGTTTTTCCTTTATGACTTTGCACAAGACATTTTAGGCATTTACATATTTGATCATAGGCTTCCGCCCCCTAGATGAATAATTTCTTTTATAAGGATCAGCACAAAGCTGGTTCCTATGAGGCAGAAGCTAAAGATGTCCCAAATGTCTAACTTTTCCAAGCTGCCGTACCACTCCATCTCTAACATCAGCTACTTCCTCTTCCCTTAGTATTCTCCCTCCTATCTTTGAGTTCCCTAATTCACTCCAACATCTCTCAAAATCCTCACAAACCACGTAAAGGAAATGGCTCATGTGGTTGTGGAAGCTGGCAAGTCTCAAATTTGTGGTTTAGGCATAGATTTCTCTCTGGCCCTCAGTCTCTGCCCACACTCAGCTTTCTCGCTCTGTGGGGTGGGGAGCCCACTGCACATCTCTTGCAGGTCTCTCCTTTGGTGGTGGTGAGCTCTCCTCTCTGCTCTGGAATTGGCTCTCTTTTAAGGCAAAACTGACCAGTCCCCTCAGTGGGCCACAGTTATCTTATTTGCATAACCCCACCCAGTCATCTGAGTGGGAATTGCAAGAGGGTGGTGGGAAAAAGTAGGTAGCCTCTACCCTTGTATGGTACCTGGGCGGGCGGGGGAGTCAGACTTTAAACAGCTGAGAACAGGGAATGTGTGGCGAGTGCTAGGAAGCAAGAGTATGGTGTTGGTCAGGGATGGAGTCGTTGATAAGGTGCAATTTAAGGTAAGACTTTAATGATGAGCCAGGAGTCAGTTCAGTGAAGGAAGGACAGGAGGGAGAGTATCGCAGCTGGAGACAACTGCAAAGAAGAGGTCTTGAGATGGGAATGAACTTGGCTCCTGTGAGGAAGAGTGGCATGAGGTATGGCCAGAGATAGGCAGGGCCAAGTTCCTGTAGTATCTTGTAGGATGTGGTAAGGATTTGGACTTTAGCCAAAAGAGGGATGTGAAGCCATGAAAACTTTTCAGTAGTGGTGACTTGATGAGATTGTGTTTTTTTAAGATGACTGCTGGGTGGGGAACATATAAAATAGGAAGTTCTAAAGTGGTCCATGGGCACATCTTATAACATGAAGGAGTCTGGAGGGCATTATGCTGAGTGAATTTAGTCGGTCACAGAAGGACAAATAAGTGGTCTATGGGAAAGAGAACGGTATCTTGGTCTAGGGTGGGTAGAAAACCCAAACCTGTTGCTGTCGAGTCGATTCCAACTCATAGCGACCCCATAGACAGAGTAGAACTGCCCCATAGGGTTTCCAAGGAGTGCCTGGTGGATTCGAACTGTTGACCTTTCGGTTCGCAGCTGTAGGTCTTAACCACTACAGTACCAGCGTTTCCAGGGTGGGTAGAGGAGGTGGAAATAGACAGATTGGACCAAAGAAGACTTAAAATTTAAAATGACAGCATGTGATAGGAAGAGACAGTGCCTTAAACAGGCTGCAGGCAGTGCAGGGCTAAGTGGCCTAAGGGCCACACCTGGCCTGCGATTTGTGTTTGTATGGTCTGTAGGCTGAGAATAGTTGGGGTGGTTTTTTTTTATTTCTTTCTTTTTCCGATTTCAAAGCATTGTTTAGGGAAAAAAATGTGACAAAAACCATAAGTGACCTGGTAAGCCTAAAATATTGTTTGGCCCTTTACAGCAAGCTTGCAGACCTTTGAAGAAGAGGATTTTGGTATCTGAGAAAGGAGAATCCCCAGTGACTTGAGTAGAAGCTTTAAGAACTGAAACAGCCAGAGATGGCCAAAGGCCTTCCTTAACTTAGACCTTTGTTTTCTAGGACCAAGACCCCTGGGCCTGGGGCCCAGTCTGCCCTCAGAGCCCTTGCCCGTTCAGGAATGAAGATTGGGCGGATTGGTAAGTGCCTTCCTCTGGCTAATACTTATTTTGCTTTGAAGCATTGACCTCAGAAATTGTGTGTCTAATGAGCACAGGGCCTGGTGTGATGGCTGTTGGCAGTTAGGTTGTTATGAGGGCTGTAGGGGACACTGTGTGACTTAAAATCTCTTCCTGAATGCCCCTCATCACCTTAGTGTGGGTGTTGTCCTTCCCATCTGCATCTGCGTTATGTGCAGCTGTTGAGGTGGCATCTGGTGGAACTGATTTACAAATTGTCTTTCCTTCCCAATGTTTCCTAAGGGGGTTGCTGCTGGCATTTCGTGTGGACTGTTTCCTGCATTGTAAGACATTCTGCATCCTTAGTCCCTACCCACTGAATACCACAGCAAGTGCTACATTTGTATAGCACCAATTACCCTCATGTCATTTCTTGGTTCCTTATAACTCCTAGGAAGGAGGTCATAGCCCTTCCGTACTGTTTCTCTGTGGTTGGTAACAACATGTACTGACTCCTCAGTCTAAACTTCTAACCCTCTCCTACCCTAAGATTTTTTAAGAACATTTCCAACCTTTTACCTATTGAAGAGGAGACAGTCGCTCTGTTCAGGAGGCTTTTCCTCTACAGAGTCAGTAGATTAGGTGACATGCACCTGCATTTGTCATATCTGCCTTTGACACTGTGGGAGTCGTTTACCCTCACTGAGCCTCAGTTTCCCCTTCTAGAAAGTAAGGTTAGACCACATCAAGAATTTTCAGGAAGTAAGGTGGGCAGCTCCATGTTCACACGTTCTATGTTGAGGGCTCATTTGGGGGAAAAGAGGGTCTGTTGCAGATCAGTTAGAACACTGCTTAGGGAGGCCCAGAGACCTTCCCATCCAACTCCAGACAATGATGTTTTCTCTTCCTCCCCACAGAGGATGTCACCCCCATCCCCTCCGACAGCACCCGCAGAAAGGGGGGTCGCCGTGGTCGCCGTCTGTGAACAGGACTCCTCAAGTTATTTTCTGTTAATAAATTGCCTTCGCGTACTCTGTTTCGACTCATCTCCTTCATGTGGGGGCCACCCCTCAGGGGTATTTGATTCCTTCCTCCTGTCTAGGTTTGACCAGGGCCTAGGCTGTGATGAAACAGCAGGTATTTAATGGAGTATACTGCTTCCGAGAGTGTGAGGATAAGTGAGATAGTGATGCTGTGCTTGGGTTTTTCCACACTGCTCCTGATGACATTAAGTTGCCTTAGTCATGTAAAGCTGATCGAGGCCTTGGAGACCTTGTTTCAAAAATGATGTTGGTTCCAAAAATGGACTGCTTAAAGAGCCAGAGCAGGGTGGGAACTGTTGAGCCAAGTGTAGCCTGAGCAGAAGAGGAGCCTTCCAGACACGCTCCATATATAAACACGTGTGGGTGTGTGTTCTCCCACCACACCTTCTGTGCAAAATTGATAGCGCGCTCTTAAAGCGTCTTGCTTTTTTTCACTCAGCAGATCTTGGAGATTGTTCCGTATCAGTACATAAAGTACGTGGAGATTCAGTCACTCCACAAATACACATCAAGTCCTATTTTCATCAGCAAAAAAAAGTTCTTGTTTTCAGGAAGCTCATCCAGCTCTGAGGACTAAGGGTACCAGATGGTACTGAGTGTTCTGCAAGGGATTACGATAGGTCCATCCCTGTGATAAGGAGCCCTGGTGGCACAGTAGTTAAAACACTCAGCTGCTAACTAAAAGGTCAGCAGCTCCAACCCACCAGCCTGTCTGGGAGAAACGTACGGTGTGCTTGCATAAAGATTTACAGCCTTGGAAACCCTGCAGGGCAGTTCTTATTCTGTCCTGTAGGGTCACTATGAGTCTGAATCAACTTGATGGCAATGGGTTTGGTCCCCGAGATGGTGACTGCCGCACTGGGTAGGTAGTGGCATTTAAGTTGAAATGCGAATGGCTTAGGAAGGGGCCACCACGTATGTGTGGACAGCAGCGTTCCAGGAGAGGAAACCCATGTGCAATGTCCCTAGAGCAGGACTGAGCTAGGCCTGTTGAAAGTAGGACAGTGGTTAGTGGATGAATAGAATTAGCCAGGCCCAGTAGGGAGGGGAAGGTGCTGAATGTCCCATGCTGAAGAGGTGAGGGGGCACTGGAAGTACAAGGTACTGATTATTTCTAGAGGGGAAAGTTGGTATGCTATTTTATTTAGGGAGATCAACCCAGGGCTTTTTGACCAGAAACTGGCAAGAGAGTAAGCTATGTTCTGTGTGGAAGAAGAGTCAGGCAGAGGGAATAAGTAGACAGGTCCTGAGATGTAAGTGGGTTACTGTGGTGAAGCAGCATTTGTTATATACCAGACCGTGCTAAGCAGTTTAATCATCATTGAATCTTAAACCTGATGCAAAAGGAGCTGTCATCCCCATCAAATACGTAAGAAACCCACTACAGAAAATAGTTTGCCAAAGGCAGCAGCTTATAAGTATCACTTCTGACTCCTGAGCAGCACTTTAAAAACAGTTATGTTGAGGTTTTATCCACGTACCATACAATGCACCTATCTAAAGTGAATAAATGGTTTTTAGTATATTCACAGTTGTGCAACCAACACCACAATCAACTTTTGAACATTTTCATCACACACCCCCACCCCCACCCCCCAAAAAAAACCCATGCCCATTAGCAGTTGCTCCCCTTCTGCTTCCCCTGCTAGGCAACCACTAATCTATTTTCTGTCTCTAGATTTGCCTATGCTGACATTTCCTATAAATGAAATCTGCAAAATGTAGTCCTTTGGGTCTGGTCTCTAACTTAGCAGGAGGTTTTCAAGGTTCGCCCACATTGTGACGTGTATCTGTACTTCATTCCTTCATATTGCTGAATAATACTCCATTGTCTGGATTTACAAACCTCCACTCTTTACCACAATTCTGCTTCACTCCTTGGAAGAGCCTGGGAGACTTGGGATCTTGCCATGGCTCCCACCAACTTACCCTGTGAACTTAAACAAGTCAACTTTAACCTGTTTCTTCATGTTGAAAATGAAGGATGTGATTACAACCCAACGTATAATGGAGTCTGTAGTGATAGAAATGACTGAATAAATGAGGACAAAGGGACAAATCTTCCTCACAAAAGAATTACAAATAAAAGCAGATATTCCTCACTCCAGAAAGTGGAACTTAAGCCCTCCCCATGAGTGTGGCCTGAGCTTAGTGCTATCTTTCAAGGAACAGAGTATGAAAAGAGTGAAAGTAGTAACTTCACAGTGGGGAAACTTGGCAAAGATTAACAGAATTATTAAGGTTGATACCACTAGTGAAAAGATGTTGATATGTACCCCTTGATAGGCCGTGATGAGGGGAGCACTCCACCTGTGCGGTATTCCTAAGACCCCATAGCCTCATTCTAAACATGAGAAACCCATAACCCAATTAGAGAACGTTCTACAGAATACCTGACCTTAAAAACCATCAAGTCATAAAAAATGTATTAGAAAAAATAGGGGTGCTGCCCTGTCAGCCTGGTTTCTAAGGTAGGATGTGCACAGGTCAACAAGAGGTAGACATGCCTGGAGGAAAATCCCAGTTCTACAACTTCTGACTGTAACCTTAGGCAAGTTACTTAACCTCTCAGCCAGTTAGTGAAAATTCTTCATAATAATGGCTGCCTCATAGGGTATTATAAAAATTAAACAAGATTAAAGTGTTTTAGCACAGTTCCTGGCACTGAAGAAGCCTCTGCTATTCTTATGCCTGTTCCTTTCTCATGCCAAGCTGCATCAGTGACAGCTGGCTGGAATCCTGGTGGGAAAAAGCTGGTGGTTGCTGGAGCATTCTTTTTATTTCCTGTGACGGGACTTTGCAACTTAAGCTCTTGTTTCCTGGTAACCAGGGATGCAATCAGCCAGGTCTTTGAAAGTAGTTCCTTTCAGGAGGTGGAGGGGTTTGTTTGCAAGGAAAGCCAAGCCATCGCCGGGGGCTCAGGTCGGCATGCAGCAGCCTCTTGGCCACTCTGCGACAGACAGTACAGAATAAATGGGCTGTTGCCCACCTGAGACTGCAGACCATGGAAGCCCAGCCTTGGCACGTGACCCTGAAGCCAGCGGATATAACTCTGCAACTCCGACCCAGCTCCTCAGAGATGGTCCCTCCTGCTCTCGAATCCATCTACTCTGCACTGCACCTTTTCTCCTTCAGGCTACCTTCTCTGTCCTGAACTCCTGCAACAGTCTCCTTTTCTATAGGTCTCCCGGTCTTCCCTCTGGCTCTTTCCAATCCCTACACCACACCGCAGCAGTGATCTAAAACTAATTGGATTGTAGCAGTATTCACAATAGCCAAAAGGTGGGAACAACCAAAATGTCCATCAATGGATGGAAGAATGGGTAAGCAAAATGGGGTACAAACACATAGTGGAATCCTACTCAGCCATAAAGAGAAATGAAGCCCTGATACATGCTACAACATGGATGAAACTTGAAAACGTGCTGAGTGAAATAAGTCAATCATGAAACGACAAGTAGATTGCTATGACCTCACTGATACAAAATATCCAGAATAGACAAATGTTTAGAGACCCAAGTTTATTAGTTGTTACCAGGGGCAGGAGGGAGGGGGAAAAAGGGAGCCATTGTTCAGGAAGCAGTGAGTTTCTGTTTATGGTGATGGAAAATTTAGCAACAATTATTGGTGATGGCTGCACAACATGATTAATGTAACTGATACCACTAAATTGTTCACAGAGCTCTAGTGGAGAAGTGGTTAAGAGCTCAGGCTGCTAACCAAAAGGTCAGCAGTTGGAATCCACCAGCCACTCCTTAGAAACCCTATGGGGCAGTTCTGCCCTGTCGTATGGGGTAGCTATAGGGTTGCTATGGTCAGAATCGACTCAACAGCACACAACAACAACAAATTGTACACGTGAAAAATGTTGAATTGGCAAATGTAGTGTATATTTTTACAACAATAATTTAAAAAAAAAACAACTGATTGGATTATATCACTCCACTGCTGTTTTATTACTGCCTAGCTCTACTGTCTTCAGGATAGAACCCAATCTCTGTTTTACCAGGCCCTTTGGGATCTGGCCCTGCCACACCCTTCAGCCTGCTCTCACTCTGCCCAAGCCAAACCTAGTTCCTTTCACTTTCCCAATTCTCCATGCTCTCTCACGCTTCCAGCCTTTTGCCCAGCCAAGCTTCCCCCAGCTTGGCTCACTCAGTACTGTATCTGCTCCCCCTCACTTGGCCTCACTATCTTCTGCTCTTCCATTAGAATCAGTTTTTCATCACTTTCTTAAAGATGGCTTTTTGGATGCCCCTCAAGGTACCTTTCCACTGAATTCCCACAGCGTCCCTTCTCCATACTGGGTACTACTAGTCACTCTCTATTGTAATAGCCTATTTTTCCCACTAATCTGTGAACTCTTCCAGGGCAGGGAGTATGTCTTGTTCAACGTCTGCCCAGACTCTGCACGAAGTAGGGGCTCGATAAAGATTTGTTTCATGAATTATTGAGAAAAAAAAAGGACGTAGTTCAGCCAGCTACAAAGTTTAAATGGCCTTTCTAGATCCTGAATAAGTTAGCACAAACATGCATTCCTGAGATCCCAAAGAGTAGGGAAAATCTCCAAAGGCATTAAAGAGATAAGAAAAAGGATATCAAGCTAAAATGGATCAAGGAGCAGAGAGCTTTAGGCAAAGAAATGTGGGGGTAGCCCTGCGGATAAATGCAGGAGTCTGTGCTAAACTTTGATTCTGTCCTCACCTTGATCTTCAGCCTCAAGGTGAGGAAGCTGAATTTGACATTCACCTTGAGTCAGAAATCATCAGATTTCTGGGCTGATGTGGTCGCAGGCAGGAGTGTCACCTGGCTTCTGGCAGAAGCCAAAGCAAATTCAGGAGAAAACCACCCAAAATTGAGATCCTCCTATTTCCCACAGATTAGGTTCAACCAATCACTGAGCTGATAAGAAGGAAAACAAAAAATCAATACACAAGGAAATAAGCCACCAGGAGTGAGAGCAGAAACAACGAACAGATTTATATACCCCCTGAA